TATTTGTTTGACTGAGAGTTGATGATTGAAATGGTGTGTTTATGGTTTAGAAATAGCTTTGGTTTAAATTCGAAAGTTGAAGATTGTTTTGTCCATCAGATTTGCTTGGTCTCTCTCGGGGTGCTCTTGATGAGCTTTTTATGGTACGTACTGATATCTGTTATGGGTTTCAATTTCTTTTTACTACATTTGTTTCGGGTGTTTTATTCAAATGAATGAAATCCAGTGTTCAAAAAACATGTAAAGTTACTTTAATTTTTTATTTTACGATTAATATTTCTCCTAAACATTACAAAGCACAATGAACCTGTCTTGGCCCATATAAAGAGGCTCATTTCATGTTAGGAGATGTATATCAAATATGAAGATTGTTGGTTTCTTACTCATTCGCCAAGATAAGCATTAAAAAGACAGTTTTATTTTGTGCAACAGAGGAAATTTTTTAAGAATTAAAGACATAGATTTAATGCTCTCGTCTAGACAAGTAGCAAATGCATTGGGGACAAAGCTTAACACGAGAACAGAATAGAGATTAGTAAAACCTGTCAACGTTGTTGTTGTGCTGCTGAAGAGAAGTACCAACCACACTTTGTTCAGTTGTCCTCTATCAGTAGCAACTTGGAGATTTTCAGGATTCCCCAACAACTTCCCATGTTTCATTATGATGCTCTATAAGACAATGTGAATCTTTTCTTCAACTTTCAATAATTTGATGCTCTATCAAAATAACAACTCTATGAAAGATGGAAATCGAAGAGCAATTTGATTTTCAATAGTCAACAAGTCAATTTGAAGACAGATGTTGAAATTCAATGTTAAAAAAACTTGTAAAGACAACATGTTTTGTTTTGTCGGAAAAACTATAGTTTCTGTTTCGTTATACAAATATATATTTAAAGGCTAACACAATAAACAAATTGTAACGAACTTTTGGAAATCTCTAGTTTTCCAAATTTTTCAAAAGTTTTAGAATCAATATGTGTTTATCCAACACAAAATAGGGGATGACAAATAACGAATCTAACAATGCAAATCAAATCTGATTCGATAAAAATGAATTCAAATCAAAATCTGACATAAATACTGAAAATGAGACTTGTTTTATGATATTTTTGCTTATGGATTTAATCTGAACCAAAGTCAAATCCGAACTCGAAAGAGTATCTGAAAAAAAAAACAAAAAAAAAAACAATTTAAAAAAAAAATACTTATTCTAAAGTCAATCTCAAATAAGTACCTAAAATATTCAAGATTTCATAATTATACCTAACAAAAGTATAATTATGTAATAAGTATCTATTGCATAATTTACTCAAATAATTAGTTTAATATATTTTGGTAGTTGGTGCTTTTTCCTCCTCTCTATAGTTGAGTTTATCAGGTTCAATGTGTATTTGCTTCGGGTTTATGATATATGATGTGTTTGCACATAGTTTTGATTTTGGTTCTATGAATCATTGTCTTTATTCTTTAATTTCACTTGTCAAAAGTTACACTAAAATAAAAAAGAATCATAATACGAACATTTCTTATTTCCTTTCTTCTATTTTTGGTCTCTGTTTCTTGGATCTTTATTTTTTCCGAATTTAACTTAGCACTAAGTAGTGTTTTGGAACTGAAAACCTAATTAAAATGCGAAATCTAAAATTATTTTGAGTTCAACCGTTTTTTTGGAAATGTTATCAAACTCAAATTGAATCCAACAAATAATATCTGAATAAGATTGAAATTCATAAACTTGAAAACCGAAATTAATTGAACATGAATCAAAATCCAATTGATTCTCCGAATGCTCAACCGTGACATAAACATTATTCAAATTTTTTATTTTAATTGTTGGTTTACCATATGTAAGCTTTTTACTCCAAAATTTATATTTTATCCCAAAATCTAAATTCCAACAAACCCATCAAAATTTATAAACCTTAAATCATTCTTTATAATCTAACCACTTTTTAAACTCTTAACCGTCATATATAGTTTAATATATTTTATAAATTATTAATAAATTTGGTCGTTTGAAAGGTAGATCACTAGAGAAAAACAATTAGATTATGTTACATTTTTATTGAAACAATAGATAAATGATCAAATCACAAAGTTTTGCCGTAACGAGAAGGCCAATTTATCAAAAGAGTTTACAACACATATTTCTCTCTAAAAAAGGAATTCATTTGCTACATTGTGTTCAGTGACATGACAGTTTATAGCTAGCAAAACTGGTTAAAGCTAGGAATACAACTAATTTATTATGCCGTAACGAGAAGACCAATTTATCAAAAGAGTTTACAACACATATTTCTCTCTAAAAATAATTCATTTGCTACATTGTGTTCAGTGACATGACAGTTTATAGCTTGCAAAACTGGTTAAAGTTAGGAATACAACTAATTTATTATGTTGTTATGACTATAAATAATAATCATATGGTGTTAGTCTTTGATTAGTGGGTCTAGAGTTTGTTGTAAGTTACAGTATCCACGAGAAACACGTGAAATTGAGCATCTTAGCCATCGTAATTTAACCATTTGATATTGTGCATTAAATAATGGGCTTATTTGCCAACTAGCTATATTTTGAACACAAATTAGGTAAATAACATTGATTGTGACATAATTTAGTATCTAACATTTATACGATAAATTATCCGGTTATGTCCTTTAATTTTGCAGTTACCAGGTAAAAAGTAGAAAAGAATAACGTGGCCAATAGAAGGAGTCATCCACGCATACTTTTACTGATCACATATATATCTACTCAATGTTCTATTCTATATCACCGATATAGTATAGAATTATAACTTTATCTACAACCTTACATATTAAACATATCCAAATCCAATTCTTACATACTAATCATCAAATGGTCACTAAACCCAAACCACAAACCCCACCTTCCAAATACTAAACCCTAAATACTAATCACTAAACACTAAACCCAAAGTGTAAATCCTAAACCCAAATAGAATGGAACAAAATAGATAGAATATTACATATTGGTGCACTCTTTATTAATGATCAAATGGAACAATAAATGATAGGTTCACTTAACCTAATCTTCAACCCCCACCTTCGAAATACTAAACCCTAAATCCTAATCACTAAACCCTAAACCCAAATATAGATTTTATACCTAAATAGAATGGAACAAAATAGATAGAATAGTACATATTGGTGAGCAAAATAGAACACTCTTTATTAATCATCAAATGGAACGATACATGATAGGGTCACTAAACCCAATCCTCAACCCCACCTTCCAAATACTAAACCCTAAATCCTTATTACTAAACCCAAATATAGACCCTAAACCCAAATAGAATGGAACAAAATAGATAGAATAATACATATTTGTGAGTAAAATAGAATGGAACATGATAATTACATTTCTATTTTATATGCATATAATAGAATAGAATACAATAACGGTTCATCTTCTTCCACATACAATAAAACTTTCAGAAAGCCGTTCTCCTCCTCCACAAAACTTTCTGACAACATCTTCGTCGCTCAAATCTATTTTGAAAGAATTTATTCACTTTTCAAATATTAATAATGAAAAACTTATTTTGTTAGTGTGTGTGAGCAACAAAGAACCACGTAATATGTTTCACAATCAATAATTATTCATTAACTTTTTTGTCTTTGCAGGTTCTACCGGTGAAAAGGAAGGCTAATACAGTATTATTATATAAATATAACGGTGTGTATAGAATTGTTAGGGAAATTGGCTATTTGGTGAATTTCATTTTTTTTCTTTGCTATACAGCCCAATTCCCCTTAAATAATTTATGTTGTCCTTTTCACTGAAATTTTCTTCTTTTCATGGATATCATGTTTATGGTCAATATCATGTGTATTTTTTTGTCGTGATCATCTGTAACTTTGTAGAAATAATATTTTGGTGTTTATGAATGTTTTAGCAAAACAGTATAAAAGTTAGAATTGTTGATTAAAAATGGGGAATAATGTAAGATGTATCTCTTGTATGAAAAAATATCAAGATTTTAATACAAAAAATGTCAGTATTTGTGAGAAAATCATGAAAAGCAGACAGAAGTTGGCCTAGCCAGGACCCAAACAATTAAAGTGGGCACACAAGATAGTCCCAACATGATATTTTTTTATTAATCCGAATATGACTTTAATTGAGATTTGAGAGCAATATCATTTTCACCATATATTTTTGAACCATTCTCACTAATATATTTCATCAATTATTCAATTGTGTACTTTATAATAGTAAATTTTGGAACGCATAATCTGAGGAAGAGTATCTTATTTTGTCGCCTTTATAAAGTTCTAGATTAAAATAGCAGTATCAAACTCTAATTTTGAAACCGAAAATATCTGTTGGTCAACAATCTATCAAATTAGTATTTTGGTTTATTTTAACTAACAAAAGATTTTCTAAATATAATATTGGATACCAAAAGAAATAACTCTGGAACATATTTTGGATTGCAAACATTTTTTTCATAGTTTTAATTAAAATATTATTTCAGTTTGTTTTCTAACTAAACGAATGGTCATGTTCTGAAATTATTTTGGTTCATACATTTTTCGACATAATTTTTTTTTAAAAAAAATACAAATAACTCTGGCACAAATTTTGGAATAGAAACGAATTTTAATGTCTGGTGGACAAAAGAGTGGTCCAAGCGAAAATAATCATATAAATAATATTTCTTGTCGGACTATAAATAATTTAATTCATTAAATTTACGTTTTTCTTAATATTAACCAAACATTTATTACTTTATGGGTACATAATATGAAGTTGCAACTACTTGCAAGTTGCCACTGTCAAATTCTTAGCATATTTTTACTTTATATAAAAAAAATAAAAATAAAAATATAGAAGAGAATCCTCTTCAGACAATCACTAAACGCCATCTTGCGTAGCGTTTCCTCTTTCGACTCTCCTCCAAACACGTCACCTCCTCCTCTCTCTCTCTCTATCCAGACCAAGAAAAGTCTTCACCTCTTTTTGATGCTCACATGAACGACTACTTCCTCAACGAGCCAACAGCCGCCACCGGCGACAACCACAACGCGATGGAAGCTTTCATCGGAACAAACCACCACTCATCTCTCTGGCCACAACCACCTCCTCCTCCTCCTCCTCTCCCTTCTTTCTCCCAATTCAACGAAGACACTCTCCAGCAACGTCTCCAAGCCCTAATCGAATCTGCCGGAGAAGGCTGGACTTACGCGATCTTCTGGCAGATCTCACACGACTTCGAATCTCCCGCCGGAGACAACACGGTGGTCCTCGGATGGGGAGACGGATACTACAAAGGAGAAGAAGATAAACAGAAGAAGAAGAAAAGCTCTAATTCGAATCCGGAGGAGCAGGAGCATCGGAAGAGGGTAATCCGTGAGCTTAACTCGCTAATCTCCGGCGGCGGAGGAGGAGGAGGAGATGAAGGTAACGACGAGGAGGTTACGGATACGGAGTGGTTCTTTCTTGTCTCGATGACTCAGAGCTTCGCCAACGGTGTTGGTCTTCCCGGGGAGTCTTTTTTAAACTCTCGCGTGATTTGGTTATCCGGGTCGGGTGCTTTGACCGGGTCGGGTTGTGAGCGTGCGAGTCAGGGTCAGATTTACGGGTTACAGACGATGGTGTGTATCGCAGCGGAAAACGGCGTCGTTGAGCTTGGTTCTTCGGAAGTGATAAGTCAGAGCTCAGATCTGATGGATAAAGTTAATAGTCTGTTTAATTCGAATAACGGTAACGGTGGAGAAGCTTCTTCTTGGGGGTTTGGTGGTCTGAATCCGGACCAAGGAGAGAACGATCCGGCTTTGTGGATCACTGAACCGGTTATCGAACCGGTTCAGTCCGGTTCTCATAAGCTTGAGAAGAACGAGAGCTCGGTTGAGAACCCTAGAAAAAACACGTTTCTTGTTGAGCAAGAATTGAATTTTCAAGCTGCTGGTTCGTCTAAGATGATGAAGCCGAATGAGACGGTTAGTTTCGCGGCGGAGGAGAGCAATAGAAGGAGGTCTCCGGCGTCGAAAGGGAGTAACAATGAAGAAGGAATGGTTTCTTTCAGCACAGTGGTTCGATCCACGGCGAAATCGGTAGAGTCTGATCATTCTGATCTTGAAGCGTCGGTGGTTAAGGAAGCAATTGTGGTTGAACCGGAGAAGAAACCGAGGAAACGTGGGAGAAAACCGGCTAACGGGAGAGAAGAGCCGTTGAACCATGTTGAAGCAGAGAGGCAGAGAAGGGAGAAGCTAAACCAGAGATTCTACTCTCTGAGAGCTGTGGTTCCCAACGTGTCGAAAATGGACAAAGCTTCTCTTCTTGGAGACGCCATTTCGTATATCAACGAGCTGAAGTCGAAGCTGCAACAAGCGGAGAATGACAAAGAAGAGATTCAGAGGCAGCTTGATGGGATGAGCAAGGAAGGAGGAGGCGGGTCGAGGAGGGGGAAAGAACGAAAATCGAGTCAAGATTCCGCGAGTTCTGTTGAAGTGGAGATTGATGTGAAGATCATAGGTTGGGATGTGATGATACGTGTGCAATGCAGCAAGAAGAATCATCCTGGCTCAAGATTCATGGACGCACTTAAGGAACTGGATTTGGAAGTGAACCACGCTAGTTTATCTGTGGTGAATGATTTGATGATTCAACAAGCTACTGTGAAGATGGGGAGCCAGTTCTTCAATCATGATCAGCTCAAGGCTGCTTTATTGTTGAAAGTTGGAGGAGACAATTGAACAAAGTTGAACATCTTTAAGAGATGAAAAAGGGATCGAACTTAGAGGGTTATGAATGTATGATCTTATGGCAAGGAGATCTCTTTGTAAATTAGTAACTAGTCATTTTGCATCACCACCAGCTTCATGTTGTTGTTCATTAGGAGAAGCATGTTTAGTTATTAGTTTTAGTATTTTTCATAAGTTTAAGTGACATGGAAGTTGGAGACCAGCAGAGGGTAGTAAAATAATAAATCTTGGTTGTACTTGTATGTATATTATATGCATGGAGTATTAATTGAAACTCTATCGAAGTTTATAGGTTATATCGTTCGTTATAAATGAATTTTGTGCAACCTAAAACCAATTACGAAGCACTTTTCATCTGGTCACAATAGTCATTTCTCATGTTATGAACTTTTAGGATACTATTTATTTAAACTAGTGGTTTGTTTAGTTTTATTTTGCATATATTTTGATTTTTTTTTTACTTGCTATTAAAAAAGTTATGAAACTATATCATTTTGAATATTCTCATGATGTTTATTTATTCAATGAAACACTTCATCATCATATGTGTCTGGCCATTGTCATTTGCAAAAATAATGTAGCCGATGTAATTTTATTATGGATGTGGTAATATTGTAATGTGTGAGTCGGAAAGTTAGTGAGCAACACAAAAACATTTTTAAATTTAATGTGATCGTGCGGGTGATTCATTTTATTTTATACAACTATTAAATTTACATGATTAGTAGTATATAATTTTAATATTTATCATATTGTTAGTAGTTTAATATAATATTCTTAAACATAACAATTTTATAGTTTGCATGCATTAATTTAATTTGCTGTTTCAAAATTTTAGTGATACATTTATTAAAACATGAACACTAACTAAAACCTTATATTATGTATATTTACAATAATCTTGTTCAGTTTAATATTAAATTAGATATTATTTTCCTTAATATTTTATTTGTATTTCAGGTTTTGGTCATACATATATGTTAACCGAATTATTTTTATGAATTAAATCTTTGACCGAATAACTTATATTAAGTGTAATTTATAAAACGTCGGCTTCATTTAAATTATCTAACCGAAAGTTGCAATGCATTGTGTTTGTTTTTGTCTTTTTAAACCTAAATTTTCTCTTTATTATTATTTTTTTTTAGGTTTCTTATATTGACTATTGCTGATTTAGACTTTACTACCCCCAAAATTTTTAGATTATTTACAATGAATTATTCAATGTTAAAATTTTTATTTGAAAATTTTCATCTATCATACATCAAATTATATAATTAACACTTAAACCTACAACTACATTTGATATTAAACACACTGTAAATAAAAGTATTCATATGAATGATATTTATCAATCATTCATTTGTCATTTTTGTTAATAGCATTAGTTGGTAAGATACTTATTGCACTTTCAAAATTGTACAAGATAAGAGAGAAAAACAATTACATTAATGTATAATATCGAATATGATCTATATAAAAATGAGCTTGATTATCTTTTTGTAAAACAAAACAGTCACATACTTCTATTATTGAAATATAAAATTAAACATACTACTATATTTAATAACATAATCTAAATGCATTTTTAATAGACCGATCATTCATATTGATAACATATTTTCAACAATGTGGTAAAAAATTATGAATTAACAAATCTTAGATTTTAGATTTAATTGAAAAATATTAGTTAAATTAATATCACAAATTCACTACAAAATAATACCTGAGTTTAATAATTACATTATTAATTAGATACTTAAAAAATTATTTTGGTAAAAATGAAATATACATTTATATTCAGATAATTACGAAATAATTAAATGTTTAAAAGGTTTGTTTAAGTGAAAAAAGGAAATATACATTTATATTTTTAAAATACAAAGTAACTACATATTTTAAAAATGTTTGTTTTAATGAAAAATGAAATATATATATATATATATTTATAATTAAATAAAAGATATGAAAAGATTTTGTTTAGATGTAATTAAGAAAAAAAATATAGGAATGTCTATTTGATTTTTTTTAATAGTATAGATTCGAAAAAAAAATCACACATGAATCAAGGTTGTGACTTTTGTTTTAATAGTATAGATTCGAAAAAGTGTTTAATTTACTCTCATTTGAAATAATGAAAACTTTTGTTATTTATATTTTGGTATTCTTATTAGAAATGTTTGTCATACTATTAAGAAAATTTTAACATATTCTATGTTTGTTCTATGATATAGAATGAAGTTTCTTAAATATATTGGATCTTAAACAATTGATTTTCAAATTTATATGTACTTTCGTTATACTTAAACTTATTCTTTTAAATATGATATATGCATTCACAATATTTAGAAAATATTGTTTTCATTAACAAATTTCATATATGAATATATGGTAATTTTTATTTTGTCATCAATTTTTAAATTTATTTATGTAAGGATATAATGTGTACACTACAATCCACTTGTAAAATATCACCTGATTTTCATAAGGAGAGCAAGAATGTGAACATCAAGTTACGCCATGAATTGGAGTAGCATTGATCACCCATAGACGTCTTAAAAGATAAGAAAATTTAGATTTTCATGGAATTCGTGAGATTAATCTTAGGACCTAGAAAGTTTTTGATATTTCACGGTTATTAATCAAAAAAATAAATGTGCATATCAAGTTGTCGTGCTGCACTTATGTTGCGTTGAAGATTGTTGCCGGAAATTACATGAATTTTGATAATTAGCATTTGTTCAGAAAAATATAATATATGTAGAAGGATACACATATTTCCCAAGCTGATGTGTCATAGAACTTGATGGCCATGAACCATAAAATTGACGTTGTTGGATCCCTCAAAAATCTGATCGAAGCTTGGAGGAAGAAAAAGGAGTCAAAAGGAGAGCAAATGAACATGTAAAAACTAGTGGTATGAAAGTTGAACGTATAACTATTATTTCTTTACAGTTTAGCACTATATTTTCTCTGTTTGATTATATAACAGTTACATTGAAGCCAGTGAAAGTCGATTTTTCTGTTCAGAAGTTTTAATTACTTGACTAATGTTTCAGTTCAGTTCAGACTTAACGTCCAGTTTGATCATGTAATTTTGATTTTACCTAATTCATGTATTTGACTTAAGTAACAATCATTTATTTGTATCTAAAATACGGATCCGAATCCAGATATCCGGACTTAAAAATTAAGATATCCGGATTCGGTTTGTACGTATCCGAAATTTTATTATCCGGATTTGAATCCGGACACCCCGATATCCTAATTTCGAAACGGATCCAGAGCGGATCTCAGATCAAATCCGAATCCCGGATAAATGTTCTAGCCCTATCTATTGTATTATTCAACTTGAAATGTATTGAAGTTATTATTGTCAAAAAAATTATGTTTTAACAACACAACAAATGAAACTTGGAAAAACAAACAACAAAGGTTATCTTTAGTTTTATCTATGTGACTCGACTTGAAAGTCAAGGAAATCATCAGTGCAACTGGGCCTAACTTTCGCACTACATTTCGAAAAAATAATGCGGATTTGACGTGCTGATTTTGTTTTAAACAGGCTAGATGATAACAGCGTCGTGTCATAATTAGGAATTAATTCTGATACTATAGGCAGCTATATAATTTCCTGAAACCTAAAATATTAAACAATAACACGGGCAAAAAAAAAAAACATTAACACGGGCTCTGGATACAAACTTGTTTTAAATCCTATTACAACAAATTTATGTTATTGACACGAATACTCAACTTGTTGATATATTTATGAGCTATTTTGGCGAATAACGTCGAAGAAGAAGATAATTAGCTAGGTAGTAACGTATATTGAGTGCAAGAAACATGAGTGGTGTTTTTACGTGGATGCCCCTACTTCCTCATAAGGATTTCGTATGCAAATGTCAGAATTGGAAGGTGGCCTATGCTATAGCTTCAGAGTCAATAGTACCCTATAATATTCAAATTCAAAGGCTTTTCATTTGTTAGTCAAAAACAATAATTTCTTCACATTTAAATTCTCTCTCTTATTTTCAGATCTGGAAGACGGGAAGACGCGTCCTCTTCTAACTGAAGCGAGGAAAGATGACGGGGGAATCCGGTGATAATGAAGAAACCACACCGTCGCCGGTTAGCGATTCAATGGTCCCGCGAATGATGTTTGCTACCGGTGAGGAACCAGTCGGAATCCGAGTGCTAACGTACCAGTCTTCAAGAGCACTAAGACGGATTCTTAATAGTCTCGACACGGACGAGAGGTGCATAATCCAGAAGTCTTCGTTTGGGAAAATGCTGGAAATAGCGGAGAAGCCATTATTTTCAGGGAGATTTGCACGATATGTCATGTCGCGGCAACTGAAGGTTGGCAAGAAATACGAGGTTTGGTTTAGGTTCGCAGGGCACCCTATTCGTTTTTCATTGCGTGAGTTTGCAATCGTGACCGGTTTACCGTGTAGCAATTATCCGCCGAAGTCAAGAATGAAATTGAAGGCAACACTTTCTGAGAAACCTTACTGGCCAGATTTATTTGGAAAAGTAGATGTCGTAACAGTAGCTTCTGTTGTGAAGATGCTTAAAAAAAGGACGGTTAAAGACAAGGAGATTCGAGTGAAGTATGCATGCCTAGCAATATTGTCTGCAATACTCCTCCCAACGAATCTGAAGATGAAAATCTCAAGAGAGCATGCAGAAGCAATAGAAGATTTAGATGAGTTTTTCCAATACCCTTGGGGCCGAGTGGCATTCAAAATGTTAATGGGAAGCATCAAAGAAAGAGACGAGGTGAGTCTCTCACAAAATACGATTGCGATTAAGGGTTTTGCGCTAGCAATACAACTAGTATTGGTTGAGGCTGTCCCTTCACTCACGGAAATAGTACAAGAGAGTTGTTCTTCTTCAGAATCTGACAGCGAAGACAACATAGAGGACGATACTGAGCGATCTAGTAAGAAACATACATTAAGCCCAAGCCATGCCAGAAACATAGACAAGAAGGAGAATGTAAGAAAGATATAATCATTGTGTATCATAAATTTGTTTTGTTATTTTGAGTGAAATTAACCGGATGCTATGACCTTACAATGCAGGTTTTTGTTAAATGCATCATAGATCACGATCCAAAGCACCCAATTGATGAAGCAACACTGACTTGGAGGGATGAGATAGAAGATAAGAAAGTAGACTACCTTGAGAGTCTAATAGAAAAGGGGCATATCTTCACACCGGGTATGTTCAAGGGTGGTGCAAGTAAACGTGATGTTGAGAAGATGAAAGAAGAAAGGAAGGAGAAGGGTAAGGACCGAAAACCAAGAAAGAATGCC